CTTAGAATAATCAGAGTCTGGAATCCATACCTGCCTAGGTGAGTTTTCTTTCTCTTTCCAACCCAAAGTGTCATTGATCTGGTAAGGCACGTGGGAGCAGTGTGGGGTCACTAATTCCCTGTTAGAATAATTTTAAGAACCCCTGTCCCGCACTCATCTCTCACACACACCGAGGAAGCTCCTGTTTGTGGCCCACACTTTGGGGTAAACAAGCAACCCGTTGAAGCTTGGAAAAGTTAAATAACTTGTTGGAAGTAATGGCAGATTCAGGGTTCACACACAGTTGGGTTTCTTTTAAAACCTTATGTCATTCCTGTCAATAAGTGTTAAAGATAAGACGGACGGAAAGTGGGAAATGGGGAGCGACCTTCTCATGCGACGGTAGTGGGGATTTGGGAGTAAGAACCAGCCTGTAGGGCACGCCAAGGTTCCTTGCCCGGCCTCTGTACCAGGCATCTGGGGTAACCCTGCCCCCTGCCGTGGAGGAGCTGCTGTGTGGCAGGGAAGCAGGTAGGACCTGATCCTGCCTCCGTCACTTCCTTGCTGGGTGACCCTGAGCAAGGGCTGCAACCTCAGTCGGCTTGTCTGCAATGGTGACAAGACTTCCCACTCCTAGAGCAGCGATAAAGATTGCAAATGAGGGCATCCACCATGTGCTTGGTGCAATGCGGGATGCCTAACAAGAAAGAACGAAAAATGATTTTCTACCCACTTCTGTTACCTTAGACTCCCATTTGTCTGGTGATGGAGAACAATTTGTTTACTTTCAAATGACTCAGTAATAAAAAGGCCCCGCGCTCTCCCGCCATCAACCTCTGTCCTACCTGCCCTCCCTCCCACCACACACCCGGCCTGGACACCCTGAGGGCACTGGGATTCCTCAGAACTCCTTAAAATACACGTCTTGAGGAGACATTCCCCCAGATCTGAGTGCTGTTAGCTCCAGCCTGCAGAAAACAGCAACCTGCCCAGATTCTACTCCAGCCCCACCCTGTGCTCTTCGTCCTTTATTCCTTTCGTGACGTCCTTGTCAGCAGCTAGAGAAACAAAGCCCAGGGCTTCATCTCACACTGAGCTGTGTCGCTATAACTGGGTATTATTCACTTCAGCCCTTTTATCACGCGAGATACATACTTGCATAATTTCAGAGGGAGACATAACCCTCCTCCAGGCTGAACAGAACTGCCAAATCCAAGCCGAGTTTAGTCTTGCATTTTTATTTAGAAATAACAGACAGAACTGTTCATCTGTTCTTTTTCTATTCTAGAAAACCAATAGGTCTGCTGAAAAGCCACACTGCGCCTGTGATCTACATCCATGTGTCTGCTGAGGACAGCACATATTCCATGTCCACCGACAACACTATTAAGGTCTCTGTCCTTTTACGTTTTGTTGCATTGTCCCGTGTGGTGTCTGGGTCTCAGAGGTGGCACTTTGTTTTCATTTCCCTTCTCTGTGGCTTTAGGAGCCTTTGCAATAGCGGATCCTCAAGTGGTGCTCACATTTATAGGTCTGCTTTGGGAGGGAGGTTATGCAGGCGATGGAAGGTAGCCTCAGAGAACTTTCTATACCTGGTGTTTTGTTCAGATGAGTGAACTTTACATCATTTAGGTCCCTGGTTGCGTACTGTCTGAAGGTTCCCCTATGAAAATGGGTTGGGGAATGCAGAAGGACAGCAGGGACAGAATGGGGACATACAGGGAAGCCACAGCCTCTCACCACGATGGCTATCATCTTACCTTGCACTATACATAGGACAAGTGGGCCCTTTCTTAAATGTGTATGAGGTTTAGAATTTAAGCATTTCTGGCTGGTGAAGGTGGTGATATTGCCATCTTCCTTTTGTCTGCCTTCACACCTCATTCCTAGGGTCCTATCCACCTCTAAAACTCGGCTACACTGTGATCTTTGTGATTTACTTACTATTTTTACACAAAAGAAAAGAAATTGCACTGTTGTGCTTCACCCATTATTTCACGTGCTTTTCCGGTGAATGTGACACATCTTTCAGGATTCATCCACCTTCTTTTCTGGACTGTCCTGGGGCCAGGGAATGGGAGTCAAAGCAGCCAGAATCAGAGGAATGTTAGAACCTCAGGACAGAGATGAGTATCACTGCTTTACGGACCCATAAACCAGCTCTCTGACCACTCACATCATCAACAATTGATATGTGTTATGGGCTGATCTGCGTCCCCTCAAAATTCAAATGTTGAAGTCCAAAGTACCAGTACCTTAGAATGTGACTGTATTTGGAGAAAGGACCTCTAAAGCGGTTGTTAAGGTTAAATGAGGTCACTCTGGTTGGTAGGCCCTAATCCGATATGACTGGTGTCCCTATAAGAAGAGGAGACCAGGACCTTTAGACCAAGAGGTGGCCCTGTGAGGACACAGCAAGAAAATAGGCCTCCAAAAGCCGAGAGAGGCCTCAGAGAAAAGCGAACCTACCCACGCCTTGATCTTGGATTTCAATCCCTTACTTCACACCATACGTAGAAGTTGACTCAAAATGATCATGGACCTAAATGTAAAAGAGCTGAAATGACAAAACTCGTAGGAGAACACATAGGAGTAAATCTTCCTGAACTTGGGCCAGGCAATGATTTCTTAGATATGATATCAATAACACAAGAGACAAAAAAATAGGTGAGTTTGACTCCATCAGAGTTAAAAACTTGCGCTTCAAAGAGCACCATTAAGCAAGTGACGAGATAACCCTTGCTTGGAATGGAGGAAAATTTGCAAATCCTATATCTGAATATCTGATAAGGGATTTACTTACACCTAGAATACAAAGAGCCCTTAGTGTTCAGCAATAAGGGCACAAATAACCCAAAATGGGCAAAGGACTTGAATAGGAATTTCTCCGAAGAAAATAACCAAACGGCCAGTAAATACATGACAAGATGCTCAAAATCATTAGTCATGGATACAAACCAAAACCACAATTTAACACAAGAGACAAAAAAATAGGTGAGTTTGACTCCCTCAGAGTTAAAAACTTGCGCTTCAAAGAGCACCATTAAGCAAGTGACGAGATAACCCTTGCTTGGAATGGAGGAAAATTTGCAAATCCTATATCTGAATATCTGATAAGGGATTTACTTACACCTAGAATACAAAGAGCCCTTAGTGTTCAGCAATAAGGGCACAAATAACCCAAAATGGGCAAAGGACTTGAATAGGAATTTCTCCGAAGAAAATAACCAAACGGCCAGTAAATACATGACAAGATGCTCAAAATCATTAGTCATGGATACAAACCAAAACCACAATGAGATATCAGTTCCCACCCATCAGGGTGGCTAACCTCGAAAGACAGATGACAGCATGAATTAGCAAGGATGTGGAGAATCTGGAACCCTCATTCACTGCTGGTGGGAATTTAAGATGGCACAGTCCTTCTGAAAAGCATTTTGGCAGTTCCTCAAATTGAACCACAGAGTTACCACATGACCTAGAAATTCCACTTCTAGGTTTATACCTGAGAGAAATGAAAACATACTTTCACACAAACCCTTGCATTTGAGTATTCAAAGCAGCTTATCATGATAGCCAAATGTGGAAATAAACCAAATGCCCATGAACTGATGCATGGACGGACAAAATGTGATATATCCATACAGTGAAATATTATTCATCAACAAAAAGTAATGAAGTCCTGATGCTTGTCACAACATGAGTGAACTTTGAAAAGCTTATATTAAGTGAAAGTCATGAAAGGCTATGTACTGCATGATTCCATTTTTGGGAAATATTCAGAATAGGCATATCCACAGCGTCCAAAACTGGTTTGTTTAGTTGCCAGGATGTGGGGGTGAGGTGAGAATAGGGAGTGACTGCTTCATGGGTGGGGGGTTTCTTTGTGGAGAAATGGAAATGATTTGAAATTAGACAGTGGTGATGGTTACACGACTCCGTGCTAAACACCACTGAATTGTACACCTTAAAAATGTGCATTTTGTGATAAGTGAATTATATCTCAATAAAACTGTTCATTTTAAGGAGTCGGGGGGAAGAGTCAAGGATGACACCGAGGTCTGGAGCCTAAGCCAAAAACTGAGATGGGAAGAGGGTGGGGGAGCAGAGGTTTAAGATCAGAAGCCCAGCTGTGGATGTGCTGGATAATGTCATCCTGAGTTAAGCAGAGAGGGCAGCACTGGAGATATAAATCTGGGAGTCATTTGCACTTAGATGGAATTTGACACCATGGAACAGAAGAGATCACCAAGGGAATAAGAGAGCGCAAAGGGGAGGACAGCCTCAAAGACTGAGAACAGGGGCACATGATGACTTGGGGCTTTATTGCTTGTGGGCCCCCACCCAGCTCCTATACAGGTTCCTTAGAGCCCATCTCAGTGCAATGATGAGTTTATTTGATATAAAATTAGGTGCTGAGATCACAGTGAGTGACACAACCAGACCCAGCCTCAGGTCAGTCCTGCAAGCAAATTGGATTAGAGCTGTGAAATTTGTGCACTTCAGTTTGTGATTTATTTTGAAAAATCGAATTCATCCAAAGCCACAGAGTTGGAGACTTCCTATTTTTTTTTTGAGATTTCCTATTTTTGATGAGCTTTTTTTTCCCCCGAACAACTTGCCATCATTAGATAATCAAAATTGTGTATGTGAGGACACGTCTTCTACCCTATTTTCTTTTCCTAATTCCTCTCTATTTTTTTCCAATCTAAACTCATGATTACAAGATTAGCATCTTGCCTGTGATGATTCAGGCATATTGAATCACTTCCCAAAGTCTGTTTAAAATATATTGAAATCCCATCTTGGAAATATGGTGTGTAATTTATTTCAGAATATATTATTCCTATCAAATAAAAACTAATCAGCTAGGAACCAAACAGCTAAATTTCTAACATGCCTGATCAGATAGTCTTCATTCTTTGAACTGATTTTCCAACCCAAATATTTCCCTTCTCCAAATCGTGGGGACACATGAAATATTTCAGGAGTGTGCTGGCTCCTAGCATTCTTAAAAGGAGAGAAAAGTGCCAGATCTGGGTTTCCATTCTCACTGGTTAATTTCTGTGGATTTATTACACCCCACAAAGAAGTCTGTCCTGTGTCAACAGAAATTAGAATGAAAAGAAAGTAACTTCTTGGAGGGAAGATAGCATGGTATATTGGTTAAGGTAAGGCTTGTCACTGTAACCAGCAAACCCCATATTTTCCATAGATTGAAACAATAGAAGTTTATTTCTCTCCCCTGTACTGATACAATGCCAGTGCCCCTGCTAAGGGCCAATTTTTCTCCCACTCAAGAATTGGTGTCTATAGCTGGGGTCCCACCCTGCCTTGATTCACAAAGTCCTCTTCATCCTGGTGCAATAGGGGTGAAAACAGAGACGGCAGACCTGCCCTTTTAAAATTCCAGCCATAAATGACATACGTCTTCCTCTCACATGCTACTGCAGACGTCAGAACTGCCTGAAGGGGAACCTGGGAAATGCCTCAGTCTGGTAGCCACTTCCCAGCAACAACCTTTCTGTGGACAGGGAAGCATGGATTTGCGTGGGGACAGAATGCTTCGGAGACATATAGACGTGAGTCCAAACTCTGAAACTACCACCAACTAGGTGACCTTGGGTGACGTAGCCAATTCTTCTGAACCAAGTTGCTTAGTTCTTTGGGACAATGGGTTTATTCTGCTGCAAAAGGGGAGAAAGACCCACCGTGCTGTAGGTTAGTCATGTTCATAAAAAAGAATAAATATATGAACTCTGCTCACCACAGAATAGTAGTCTTACCAGGTAAGACTCTTGTGAGCCAAAGAGACAAAAATCTGAGTCAAATAGCTTCAGCTAAAAAAGGGAGAATGTACTGGTTATTGAAACCAGATCATTGGACAGATGGCCTCCTGAGAGGTCACGTTCAGAGAGGGCACCATTATTCCCATACTCTGTGCCTGCACCTTGCATTTCTGCTCGTTGGGGTAGATTGGCCTCATCGATTCCTACTGCAGAAAGGCTTTCTTCTTCCTTCCAAGTGGCCAGGACCGTAGATGCTCGCAGCCTGAACTCACATCTCAGCTCCAGTTTCACTGCCAGCGCCAGCCAGAAACATCGGAGGGAAGGACACAGGGTGAGTGGGCTTGGATCCTATGCCTACTGCATGGTGCCAGGGAGACAGCTCTCTTGACGGAAGATAGGACGATGCCAGCCAGACAAGAGAGAAGTCTGTGATGCTTAATTTGTTGTGGCTATTTTTATTTTAGGGATTGAATGTCAATTTGCAGAGTCAACCTCAGCATCAGTATGAGCTCCTCCTTACCTTTCCTGTTCACAGACCTTGTGGGCATCCCTCTATAGCATCCCACCGGGGATCACTCTTCCCAGGCTCCAGAAGAGCTCTGTCCTCCCCCTCACCAAAACCCTCTTTTTCCATGAAATGTACTATTATCTCATGAAGTGAGAAGAAATTAGATAAATATACTGTGGTGGTATAAGTGACTGATAAGAACTGGGTGTGTCACCTTTCTTTCCAGGAAAATGGTGTCTTAAAGAACGGATGCCCCTTGAACAAGCAGCCTTCAGGGTCACCTTTTCCGTGGGATTCTTCTGCTCTGATCACACTCCCCGGGGATCACCTCCCAGGATGCATTACCCACCCTTCCCCTTCTAAGCCATGACCTAAAATCACAGATATAAAGGCAGTCTGGAACTTCTCAAATGAATGTACTAACTCCAGGGAAGAATGAAAGGAAAAGAAACAGTATAAATACAACAAAGAAGAATCTGGCTTAAGGGGTTAAGGTGTCAAACCCAGGATAGCTAATTTGCTTCCTGGTATCTCAATAGAGGGGAAAGAAACCCCATCTAAGCACATCCCGCCCACTTTAACCCTTCGAGGTTCCCAGGCAATCCTGGAGGGAGATGGGCCTGGGACTGGCTCCTGGTTTAGCTGCTCGCTAGCTCTGTAAACCTGGGGGAGCCGTCTGAGACTCAATTGCTAGCACCTACCGCTGCATGAAGAGTGTGTTTGTTTCCTACTGTAATAAAGGCCCTCATGCTGGGGGCTTAAACAGCAGAACTGATTGTCTCACAGCTCTGGAGGCTGGAAGTCTGAAATCAAAGGGTTGGCAGGATTGGTTTCTTCTGAGGCCATGAGCAAGGCTCTGGTCTGTGCCCCTCACCTAGCTTCCCATAGTTTGCTGAAGTGTGGCCTTCCCTGGCCCCTAGCCTCACCCTGTCTCTGCCTTCATCCTCACATGATGTTCCCCATCTGTCCATGCCAGTCTCCTGAAGACGCAAGTCAGGATTATTAGGCCCTACCCTCTTCCATGTGACCTCATATCAACTAATTACATTTGCAGTGATCTGACTTCCAAATAAGATCACGTTTGGCAGTACTGAGGATTATTCAACCTACCCATTTTGTGGGGACATAATTCAGCCCATATGTAACTCCGGGGAGAGGAAATTCCGGGGCTAAATATCTCTAAAATCAAAATCAGTCAAAGGGAGAAATAAAGTTTAAAATCCATTTATTGCATACAAACTGCAGTCCGGCTGTCTCTTTCCTTCTCTGGCAGAAGCAAGCAAGACCTCCCCCTAACTTCTCAGGTTCAGATAAGCCCTCCATTAGCCCAGGTAATTACCCATTGATATGCAAATGAAGTACTCTCTCCACCCCTGAGGAAGGCCTGTTCATATGCATATGCACTGAAGCCAGGCAAGATATTCTGGATATATTACAACTTTACCCACACCATAACAAAGAGTAAATGGAACAATGTATATATAAAGCATTTAACACAAGGCTTGCTGTCTTTTAGTTCACTAACAGCTGCCTGCGTGATGACGTCATCCTCCCTACACTGGGCCAATTGCTCCTCCCCAGGCACGAGGCATCAGATCCACGGACCTTAAGATAACACAAGAGCCACGCATGACTTATGTAATGATCATCATAAATGATCGACAATAATAGTATCATTCTAACTGTGTAACATGCCTTTATACCATGTTCTAGCCACTATCCTAAACATAGTTTTTTTTTAATTCCTTAGAACAACTCTATAAGATAGGTATTATTATTATTATTATCCCCACTTTGCAGATGAAGAAACTGAATTAAAGGAAGTAATTTGCCCCAGGCCAACAGTCATTAGGTGGTAGAGCTGGGATTCCAACCCAGGCAGGGGGTTCTGGACCTCATGCCCTCAACCAACAGCCACCCTGAGGGCTGTCCCCTGCGTCCTCCCAGTGTCTGTCCAGGGCTGGTTTTTGAGACCTGTATTAAGAAACGGGACCCTCTCTGGGAGTCACAGCTCTGGGGGGGCTCAGCCACAGGTGTGTGGCTCCTCGGGCAACCTCAGAATGGGGGAGGGCTGAGGAACATGGCCCCCACTTTTTTTGCTTTTTGTACAAACCGTGAAGGAGAGTATTTCACATTTTTCCTTTTGGTGAGGTGGGAATGGGGCAAAACTCTGGTTGAGCCCAACCTGCAACAGGTGATGGCTTTGGAAACACAGCGGAGCCCCCTGTTCAAGACCTCCAGTTACTCTCCCCCATCTCCTCCTCAGATCTGGGATCTGGAGAACGACACCTGCTTGTTCACCGCCTCCTCCAAAGCCAGCGGGATTAAGGGTGAGCTTGCGGCCTGCCTCTATCTCCCGGGGCCCAGAGCCCTGTGTGTGGCCGCCGACGCCGTTGCCCTCCTGCACCTGAGACTGAGGTACCAGGCCAGCCTCTTGGCGCCTAGCAGCCGGCTCTCTGGGGGGAATATGGAGACCTGGGCAGCTGCTTGGAACCTTCTACTTAACAATCCCAAACCGCATGCCCCGAGGCCCTAGCTCACAGCATACAGTGGCAGAGCTGTCCCGTTAACATCTCCCATTAATTACTCCAGCACCACTTCCTCACCTCCTGGGCCCTAATCCACCCTCCGTCCTACGCCTAAGGTAAGTGCCCAAGAGGCCCTGGGGGCTACTTAACCAGCCCAAAGGCATGGACCCCGCTTGCAGTCCTGCAGCCCCCACAGACCTCCACACCTGAGACCCTGTCCCTAAAGCAGGCAGCCCTTCAGGGTCAGCCCTCACCCAGGGGGCAAGACCAGGGTCCTGGTGGACAGTCCCCTGCGGGCTTCTCTGCCAGGGCCTCGGTGTCAGGGAGCTTGACTGCCTTGAAGGCCGAAGCTTCCCTGATTCACCTGCAGGGGGTCCACCTCGGTTTCCTTGGGGCACCTGGGCCAGGCTGCGTTTCCTTGCACCCTTGGCAAGGAAAATGGGTGACGACCTGCCTTACTTTTCCACACTCAGGTCGGTCATTGAGATGGTCCTACCCCCAGCACTGAGGGCCCACTCTACCCTGGGCGCCTGTCTGCCTGCTGGGCACAGACTGTCTCATTTTACTAAAGAGTTGTAAGTCCTGCCTCTCAGGTACTCAGAAGTCATCTTGTCCAACCCTGAAGTTTGATAGATAAGCAGAGGCCTAGAGAAGGCGATGAATTTGCCCAGGTCACGCAGGGACTAGTATTTCTGTCTGGCCATGCATGGTCCCTGCCTTCCCCCTGCACAGCGCTTCTCCCACTGAGTGGGCAAAACTCTGGGACTTTGAAAGGGATGGGGAGCTCCACGCTTAAAAAGAACAATCAGACAATAAGAGGCTCAGTGGCTAATCTTCCTCCAGAGCCTGGCGAGAAAGCTGCTCTCAGATGGTCCTATGGGGCACCTAGGGGCGATGCAGGGAACTGGCTCTGCCCCTGGGCCCAAGGTCTAGGGGTGAGTCACACTCCTCTCAGCCTCAGCAGCGGGGGAGCTCTACCCTGCCCGCCTGGCCAGGCTGGCAGCGCACCCCGCCCTCTGCATACTGACAGTGGGAGGGCCGCTGTGGCCTGCTCACGGTTCAGGCCTGGTCTGCTGCTTCGTCCCACCTGGTTACCCCTTTGCCCCACTGACATAAATACGTCCCTCATTCCCATCCCCAGCTTGTCCCCTGTGTCTTCCCTGCAGAACTGGGAGAGCCAAGCCACTAATCTATGAGACCCGAGGGAAGGGTGCAGGGAAGCTTTTAGACTGAATATCCGACCTGGCAGGTTTCAAATCCTGTGTGTACGATAATGGCAACTGGATTCCCTGAGCCAAAAATGAGGGCATGCAGTCTCAAAAAGCTGTTTGTTTTTTTAAATTTGTGACCATTTGCATAGGAAAAAATCTTAAATACATTGATTGCATTTGGTGATTGAATCACACATCAAGAATTAACTGTAGGGGAAAGTGATCAGTTGTGGAGCGTCAGAACCATTCTGTGCTGCACAGAGCATTCGGCTGCTGCCCCTGCCTGTGCCCTGGTTTGCCCACTGAGGCCGTGGGAAAGGGTGTGCGGATTGGTCAAATCGTGGGTGCAGTCTGGCCTGGGAGCGCCCGCTCTTCACACACGGTGCCAAAGAACCAGCTAAAAAGCAGGAACTCCAGTCAGTCACACGCTGTTTGTCCTACATGACATCACTGTGTAGAACAAACAGCCTGTTGGTTGGGTTTTTTGGAGCACAGTGACTGAAATTCCACCTCGTCGCAAAACAAGCCTCAATCTCTATCCAGCACTGACATTCAGGTGCCAGATAATGTCTGCCAGCCTTGCTTTGTCACTCGGGAGCTTTGTGATCTTGGCCAAATGATGCCCTCCCCTCTTCCCGCTCACTGCCAGACTCCACCGTCACATCCCACTGTCCAGGGACCATCCATGGGAAAGTTCTCATCATCCTTATGTGAAGCCCTGTTCTTTCTTGAAGAGGATCCCGCCACCCACACTGAGAGTCCTCTGGCACTAAGTCTGAGGTTTCAGACCCACCACATCTCTATTAGCAGCCCAGCGGTGGGGCTGAGCATTTGAGGGACAATAATGAGACAGCAAACAGAGCAGAAGTGCTGGGAACCATCATCAGTTAGTCAACATCCACTGCACGCCAGGCTCCTCCGGATACTCCACCTCACTTACTCCTCTCAAAATTCCTAGAAAGGATTCGTTTCATGGATGAAGCAATTAGAGCGAAGGGGTTGCGTTGCTTAACTCCCAGGGCTGTCCGTTCTACGTGCTGACCTCCCAGAGAAACTCCCGGGGTGAGGCCCACAGGCGCGGACAAGCCCTCCACACCTGGGTGCCCGTGGGATTCACACTGAAGGGCTCCCCGGGGTCCCGCCTGGCCTGCCTCCACTGTGAGTGACAGGGCTGCTGTCCAGGCTGGAGGATTCAGAATGGGGCCATACCATCTGTGTTGGTTTGGGGAAGATGGAGATCAATAGGGAAGAAGGCCAACTCTGCAGTCACAAAATCACAGTCCTGCCCCAAAGAGGAGACGTGAAGTATCCGTTGGCTTGGTTAGTGGCTGTTACTCGTAACAGCCGATTATATTATGTGGGGTTCTGTGCTAAGGACATTCTGTGCCTCCTCGTCTAGTCTTCAAAACAACCCATTAAAGTAGATACCATGTTCTCCATTTAACAGAGAAGAAAATTCAAGTTTTGAGCAGCTAAGTGAGTTGTCCAAGGTCAGAGACCCATCTTCTGGACTCAATCCTATCCTCTGAAACATGTCAGAATAAAGCAATAGACGTCTCACTCCAGGGACGTGTGTCAGGCATCTGGTCAGGTTTTCATTCTGTTTCTCTCTCTGTTTTTCATGAGTAAGATCTCCCCCAGAGCCTCGCCAGGCAGTTTCCCACAGGGAGCCCGTGGTCTGCTGCCGGTACAATCCGGCCTTCAGGCAGGTAGTCAGCTTCTCCGAGGCATCCGTAAGTATGGAGTCTTGCTGCCTTTAGCAATAGTGCATTTTCAGTGTGGGCCCAGCCCCACCATCTTGACCTTGGAGCTGAGCAGAGTGTTTTGGGGCATTCTGTCCCTGAAAGTTAAGAAGGGGAGGCTCAGTTCTACCCTACTAATCACCAAGTATGGTCTGGACACCCTTCTGTGAAAGCTGGGTGGACGAGCAGTTTCTTCAGTGGCATGTCACGGGAGCTCTCTGGATGGAGCACCTGGTGCTATGGAAAGGTTTTTATTTCACTGGGATTCTCTTGTTCGGTGTAGGGAAATTAATAGAATCCTAATACATTGGAACTCCAGTCCAAGTTTGAGAGTTCAGAGCATTCCATATTCTCTTTCACAGGGGCTCCCAGGGACTGTGCTGTCCTATCCTGGATGAGTGGCCCACAGGAGGGGACATACTCAGTGTTCCTTGAATAAGAAACAAGAAGAAAGAGATGTGCACCCCATAGCTCATGTCTTCCTGTCCTTGAACTAATGGGAGGGCACACCCCGAGTATGCTCAAGACATTTAATGTTCTGAAATCTCCTAATATTAGCTCAGCCACTTTCTGAATCATTGGCTGAGGCTCCAGCATTTTGAGTGAGTGTCCTGGGCCATGTGGCCACGACCTCTTCCTGAAAAAAGCCTGGTGCAGCTGTCTTCAGGAAGTATGGCCTCAGGGACGTCACAGCCCAGACATGTCCTCTCCATGTTCACTTACTTTAGCTTCACTCCCAGTGAGATTCGGTCGTCTCTGCGAATGTTCCTGCCTAGTTTCTGCTCCATTGATTAGTGATCACTGTGGTTTTATTATGCATTAAAAAAAATAGGCTACCTGGTCAGTTGGTCAAAATTTTTATGATAACTTAGTCTTAATTCAGCTCAAAGAAGGTGGGTTCTTGCAGTTTGGGTTCATTCTTGTAAAGAAGCATTTATCTGAATCACCCAAGACTGCAAGGAAGCCAACCGCTTTGCCTTCTCAGGATCCTGCACCTTCCTGCCCCAACTCTGTCCAACCCTTTCTCCTCCCCACCCTGGAATTTCCTGCCTCCTCCTCTTTTCCTTCGCATACCTAGTCATCTTTCAAGGTCCAGCTCGAGTTCCATTCCCACCATAAATTTGTCTTCACGCCCTGATTCGCGCAGGCGCCCTCCTCTTCCTGGCCGCTCACAGTCAGTACCTCCACGGGGTGCTGGGTTCTGCTCTGCCGTGCCCGGCCTCATCTCCCACGCATGAGCCTTGCCTCAGGCTAACACCCAGCGGGCATGTAGGGCGGGTATCAGCTCATCCGTGTTTCCCTTCCTTTCTTTGTTAATCTGTCAAAACCCTACTTTTTCTTCAGAGCGCAACTCATAAACTCTTCCGAGAAAAGTCCTACATCCAGGCGGAAGGACTGGCTTCTACTTTTGTGCTGGCACAGCCTGCCTCCTCCAATAGCATCATTTGTGACACACGCATCTCCCCTGGCAGTGGGTGGTGAGTAGATGTGGCATTGAGGTATAAATTCGCCGCTATTACTGTAAAAACTGATACTTACTGAATTGAATTGATTCGAGTATGCGCTCACCTCACAGGTCTGCGGCTGTGTGGAACCTTTGTAACATTATGGCCACCATCACAATCCATAACACCGATGCCACACCGCACCCTGTATTTGTGACGGAGAAAATGTAGCCCAAATCTTCATGAAGCTTAGATTTATGCATACCACTATAGCTCATTGTGTATCCTGAGTTACATAAACAGAGTGCGCCCACTTTCAGTGCCTTGGAAAATGCTTGAAAACTACATAATGAAAATTAATAAATGTTCAATTAAATGTTTGCAGTGTTACACAGGAACTGCAACTTACATGCACACGTACACATATAGTTACGTAAAATATGAAAAGTTACTTGTAAGAATCACAAATGATTTTATCAACAGAGCTTAAAACTGTAAAATGTTTTATAATTATTTTAACATTTAATAGCAAAGTTATATTTGATTTGGGGTGTGGTTGTGTTTTAGTATGTTTAATTGAATGGGGTCTCCAAAAGGAACCTACCTAAAGCATGAAATTCCCTCTGCAAAATGCAAGAATCAATAGCTCCTTTAGACTTTTCCTGTTTCTGTAAATTGAACCTAAAGTCATTTTTAAAGATATTTTAATTGCCCACTTTGATCTTTTCACTTGCATCTACCAACATTAGCAGTTGACATTGTTGGGGAAATTTTTTTCAAAGAAACATCTATTTAAAGGCAGGTCCAGAGTGGAGGATACCTCCCTCGGGTGTGGATCCTGGGCTCTGTGCCCAGCTTGTGCCCACCCTGCTCATTCTTCCATGCCAACAGGTACCTAACTCAGTTTTGGACCTCAGCCACATTGCAAGTCACTTCATGTTGTGGGACTTGGGGATATTTGCAAATGGTTGAAACCGCTAAAGTAAAACCCAGTAACGCTAGGCATCTATAGCAATATTGAAGAGGGCCGGTGAGTGCACCTGAGCTGTAGACACCCCTCAGAGCCCTGGCCTTGTAGGAGGACAGAGGGAAAGAGCGACGTGTGTGCTACTGAAAATCTGACCTCAGCAATGTGACATCAACAACAGTTGAGAGGACACCTTTCGTTTCTGGTTGGGAGACCCAGAAACTTCTCTGATATCAATGGAGCAGCTTTATTTTACAAAATGGAAAACCAGAAGGAACTGTCACTAATGCAGAGAGAGTGTTGCCCTCAAGCTTTCTGTCCCCATGTTGTCACTGCTTTTGGCTGCGGGTTCCAGAAAGCCTGCCCCAGAGCCAGTCCTTCCTAGAGGCGCGCACTTACCTCCCAGTCGTGAAAGACGCCGCTCAGCTCCCCTTGATGACTCTCATTCAAGGGTTGCTCAAGCGATGGGGCTAAAAAAGCAGCTCTAAGCCTGGAGCTACATGGATGGAGTGAAATTGTAAAGCTGAGGGTTTAGAAGCTAGATCCCCATCCGCAAAACAGGTTATCAGCTCCTTCAGTTTAGCCTTGATGGTGAATAAACTTTGCTACTCAAAATGCAATCCACATCTATTTTCTCTGAGCCTAGTTGGTTAGGAGATTTTTATCCTGAGATTTCTAAATCTTTTAATCTTTTCACTGAGTGTTATGAGCCGAATTGGGTTCTCTCAAAATTCTCTGTTGAAATCCTAACGCACAGTACCTAAGAACATAACTGTATTTGGAGACAGAGCCTTTAAAGGGGTGATAAAGTTAAAATAAGGCCGTTAGGGTGGGCCTGGATCCAGTGTGACTGGTGTCCTTACGAGAAGAGGACATTTAGACACAGAGAGACACTAGGGCACACATGCAGAGAAGGCCGTGTGAGGGCACAGTGAGAAGTGGCCATCGTCAAGCCCAGGAGAGACACCTCAGAAGAAAACAACCCCACCAGCAACTTGATCTTGACCTCCCAGCCTCCCAAACTAGAGCAACTGAATCTCTCTTGTTCCCAGCACCCAGTCTGTGGTGTTTGTCCTGGCAGCCCTAGCAGAGGAACGCATTCAGGCAAGGCAACTTGTGTTGGAAATACAGTAAACTTTCCTCTTTCACACCTATGACACTAGACTTGTGCAAATTCCCTGCATTTGGGTAGCCAATATCTCCAGGTCACTTCCTTTCAATTTTCTGATATAGGTGGTGAAAGTATGGGACTCTGAAACAGGAAGATCGTTGTCTGAATTTATTGGGGCTCATGGCGAGGCTGGAATCACCTGTCTGACCTTTGACTCCAGTGGAAGAAGGTATGTGCCTTCTCCAGCGTCTTTAGGCATTAGGCAGTGTGACCACTGACACGCCATCCCAACAGGGGACTCTGTTTCGTAGGCTCTTCACAGGGGGCAGAGACAGCTGTCTGAAAATTTGGAGCTATAACAATGGGCATTGTCTGCACACACTGAAACATGGTAAGTCGCTCCTTCCTGAGGGTCCCCATAACATAATGACACAAGATGAGGTGTTTGTTATCAACGTAGAAGAAATCAAATGAGTGTAAAACACTAGGATGCATGTCCCAATCCTACACCCTTGTCTCTGGCATTTCATTTGACCAATGACTCTAAGCTTCTATTTAAGAAGGACATACTTTACGTAAATGTATGTGCCACCAGATAAGTCTAACGCATTTGTTTCTCCATTACCTGGTAGAGATCTGATTCCTTAAAAGGACTTCACATTTCTAAACATTTTAAACATTGCCTCAGTCAAAATCTAGATGAACAAACTAAAAATAAAATTAGTCTCTCTGGCATGTTATTGCAATCCTTTTTTCAAGTTGCTTATGCCATTTGCTCATTTGCTGTGTCGGTTCCTGGCAGAATTTCCATAATCTGGCCTGTAAAACCTTCCCTGAGAAAGATGCGAGGCACACATTCTTCAGCCTTCAGAGAGTATAAATGAAGTCAAAGTGAAATAAACCAAATTACTCCAAGTGACGCGTCTGGGATTCCGAGTTCTGCCTCTGATCCGCACGCATTCACTTCCCATCCCTCGCTCAGTAAGTGCTGGGCACTGTGCCAGGGCCATTCAGGAGACGGTGAGCCTCTTTCTGTGGCTGAGCAAGGGTGGAATCTGCCTCTTAGGGTACTGATGGTGGCACCAGCAATGCTCTGATGGCTTGAAAGACACCTAACTGTAGTCTAAAACTAGATTGGATTAAGTCAGTACGTGTAAGCTGATTCAAGAACTGGTAAAGAAAACTGTTTAATGTAAGCTGATAATGCTATCTTTTCAGATGAAAACCAAAGTGAAGCCTGTGATTGTACCTGCTTGGAGGTGAACCAACACAAGTGAGTTACATTCAGCTTGGATATCACAAGGACATCTATTTTGACATAAATTTGTCCTGGAAGAGGACACAGAGACAGTGAAGGGAATTTCCCAGAAGGAAATGTGTCAAACAATTCCCAAGAGGCCCTGTTTGCCCCCTGATGGTCATCTAGGCAACTAGGCCCTTGCAGAATATCGGAAGCTGTCCTCTGCCTAGTTTGATGACTGTTCAGAGGCACAGACAGGGGGCACTGCATCTCTCCACTAAATGCCGTCTTCAGGAGCAAATCACGGACTTCAGGAATTAAAGTCGTCAGCCACAAGCTAAAGAATAAAAACCCAATAAATTCCCTCCTGAATACTAAAAGGGTAAAAAAAAAAAAAACAGTTTTCATCCATTTCTGTTTGTGCCCTTGCTTCCCTGGTCCAGCCACACTCTTAGGATCGAGTAATCCACAGGAAGGCAGCTGCTCGTGGGGTTGCCCGCAGACCTTGGAAATTACAGGGTGTCCTTTTTCCGTGTCCCGATCCTTTAAGCGCCAGTTTAAATATGTCCCAATTTATCAAATCACATTTAATCTTGTTCTTCCTGAGAAACCACAGAGATTGTGTTCCTGCTCTCTTCCTTGATCACATGGATATGGCAAAACTGAACCACAGTATTGACTGCATGTGAAAATGAAACTGATCATAAGCCTAAATATTGAAGTGTAATATCTATTTTTGTTCTAGGTGTATCATAGCCGTTGGATGGGACAGAAGAATTAACTTGTATTTTGTAAGTGAAATATACAAAATTGTATTTTAAACCCCCGCTTCAGACTAATATCCTCCTCCTTTCTCTCTCTCTCTCTCTCCCAGATTCCTTTCCCTTTAAAAACAGATGATTTTGGAAGAATTCCTTAGGCCCCTGCTCTCTGCTACAAGTCAAGCCATGATAGAGACAAAATAATGTCCTCCCTGTCTTCCTTCCACCCGCCCCCATCTTTCCTACTCAATTTCCTTTTAAAAAACCGTTTCACTTTGCTTCCGTTTCTGCTCCTACTTCTCTTCTGTGGCGAGAGGTGGAGCCGATGCATCCGATTCCCCCACACTAGCCGGGTTCCCACCATTCAAATCAATTCTGACGCTGTCTACTGGAGATAGTGTCAGACCCCACAAGGAAACGGCTCAGATCCCACATGACTGCCCCCGACCACCACTTTGGACACCAGTGCTAAGTGGTTCCCTGGTCTTCTGACCGACTGGCTATAGATTGGAGGTTCCAACGACCTCCTCCTTGGGTTTGATTGATTTGCTAGAGCAGCTCCCAGAACTCAGAGGAACATTTTACTTACCAGATCGCCTGTTTATTATATAAAAGGATATAACTCAGTACCAGCCACGTGGAAGACGTGCTTGAGCAGGAATGGGCAAAGGGCAAGGACCTTCCGTGCGGTCATCCCTTAGGAAATGTTAAGGAGCCCAGTGCCAGAAATGGAACAAAGGCCAAATGTATATTTCTTACCCTAAATCACAGCATCACAACGTGTTAGCTAGAAAAGCTACCAGGGGCAGAGAGGGCATCCCTGGAAACCCAAAGCAGGCTGTGCTGGGACACCAGCAGCTCCCCACCTCTTGTTAGTCCCCCTGCCCTTGGGACAGGCTGGCGGGTTCCTTCCTGCCCAGCACGCAGGGCTTCTGCTGTATCTCGCATGCTCTCACCCCTAATGGGAGGCTAACCAATCTGTCAATTGTCCAGCCTTTTGCTTTCTTCCTTCTTGTCTTTATGTCCCTGTCCCTCTCTGAATGGAAAGAAAGAGGAGATGAAATGCCACCCATAAGAAGCTTTACCAAAAAAATGTTTTGTTTATGGCGTAGAGATGAGGAAGGAGATTAAGAGACAGGGGAATTGTCCAGGGACCATCCATGGGAAAGTTCTCATCATCCTTATGTGAAGCCCTGTTCTTTCTTGAAGAGGATCCCGCCACCCACACTGAGAGTCCTCTGGCACTAAGTCTGAGGTTTCAGACCCACCACATCTCTATTAGCAGCCCAGCGGTGGGGCTGAGCATCTGAGGGACAATAATGAGACAGCAAACAGAGCAGAAGTGCTGGGAACCATCATCAGTTAGTCAACATCCACTGCACGCCAGGCTCCTCCGGATACTCCACCTCACTTACTCCTCTCAAAATTCCTAGAAAGGATTCGTTTCATGGATGAAGCAATTAGAGCGAAGGGGTTGCGTTGCTTAACTCCCAGGGCTGTCCGTTCTACGTGCTGACCTCCCAGAGAAACTCCCGGGGTGAGGCCCACAGGCGCGGACAAGCCCTCCACACCTGGGTGCCCGTGGGATTCACACTGAAGGGCTCCCCGGGGTCCCGCCTGGCCTGCCTCCACTGTGAGTGACAGGGCTGCTGTCCAGGCTGGAGGATTCAGAATGGGGCCATACCATCTGTGTTGGTTTGGGGAAGATGGAGATCAATAGGGAAGAAGGCCAACTCTGCAGTCACAAAATCACAGTCCTGCCCCAAAGAGGAGACGTGAAGTATCCGTTGGCTTGGTTAGTGGCTGTTACTCGTAACAGCCGATTATATTATGTGGGGTTCTGTGCTAAGGACATTCTGTGCCTCCTCGTCTAGTCTTCAAAACAACCCATTAAAGTAGATACCATGTTCTCCATTTAACAGAGAAGAAAATTCAAGTTTTGAGCAGCTAAGTGAGTTGTCCAAGGTCAGAGACCCATCTTCTGGACTCAATCCTATCCTCTGAAACATGTCAGAATAAAGCAATAGACGTCTCACTCCAGGGACGTGTGTCAGGCATCTGGTCAGGTTTTCATTCTGTTTCTCTCTCTGTTTTTCATGAGTAAGATCTCCCCCAGAGCCTCGCCAGGCAGTTTCCCACAGGGAGCCCGTGGTCTGCTGCCGGTACAATCCGGCCTTCAGGCAGGTAGTCAGCTTCTCCGAGGCATCCGTAAGTATGGAGTCTTGCTGCCTTTAGCAATAGTGCATTTTCAGTGTGGGCCCAGCCCCACCATCTTGACCTTGGAGCTGAGCAGAGTGTTTTGGGGCATTCTGTCCCTGAAAGTTAAGAAGGGGAGGCTCAGTTCTACCCTACTAATCACCAAGTATGGTCTGGACACCCTTCTGTGAAAGCTGGGTGGACGAGCAGTTTCTTCAGTGGCATGTCACGGGAGCTCTCTGGATGGAGCACCTGGTGCTATGGAAAGGTTTTTATTTCACTGGGATTCTCTTGTTCGGTGTAGGGAAATTAATAGAATCCTAATACATTGGAACTCCAGTCCAAGTTTGAGAGTTCAGAGCATTCCATATTCTCTTTCACAGGGGCTCCCAGGGACTGTGCTGTCCTATCCTGGATGAGTGGCCCACAGGAGGGGACATACTCAGTGTTCCTTGAATAAGAAACAAGAAGAAAGAGATGTGCACCCCATAGCTCATGTCTTCCTGTCCTTGAACTAATGGGAGGGCACACCCCGAGTATGCTCAAGACATTTAATGTTCTGAAATCTCCTAATATTAGCTCAGCCACTTTCTGAATCATTGGCTGAGGCTCCAGCATTTTGAGTGAGTGTCCTGGGCCATGTGGCCACGACCTCTTCCTGAAAAAAGCCTGGTGCAGCTGTCTTCAGGAAGTATGGCCTCAGGGACGTCACAGCCCAGACATGTCCTCTCCATGTTCACTTACTTTAGCTTCACTCCCAGTGAGATTCGGTCGTCTCTGCGAATGTTCCTGCCTAGTTTCTGCTCCATTGATTAGTGATCACTGTGGTTTTATTATGCATTAAAAAAAATAGGCTACCTGGTCAGTTGGTCAAAATTTTTATGATAACTTAGTCTTAATTCAGCTCAAAGAAGGTGGGTTCTTGCAGTTTGGGTTCATTCTTGTAAAGAAGCATTTATCTGAATCACCCAAGACTGCAAGGAAGCCAACCGCTTTGCCTTCTCAGGATCCTGCACCTTCCTGCCCCAACTCTGTCCAACCCTTTCTCCTCCCCACCCTGGAATTTCCTGCCTCCTCCTCTTTTCCTTCGCATACCTAGTCATCTTTCAAGGTCCAGCTCGAGTTCCATTCCCACCATAAATTTGTCTTCACGCCCTGATTCGCGCAGGCGCCCTCCTCTTCCTGGCCGCTCACAGTCAGTACCTCCACGGGGTGCTGGGTTCTGCTCTGCCGTGCCCGGCCTCATCTCCCACGCATGAGCCTTGCCTCAGGCTAACACCCAGCGGGCATGTAGGGCGGGTATCAGCTCATCCGTGTTTCCCTTCCTTTCTTTGTTAATCTGTCAAAACCCTACTTTTTCTTCAGAGCGCAACTCATAAACTCTTCCGAGAAAAGTCCTACATCCAGGCGGAAGGACTGGCTTCTACTTTTGTGCTGGCACAGCCTGCCTCCTCCAATAGCATCATTTGTGACACACGCATCTCCCCTGGCAGTGGGTGGTGAGTAGATGTGGCATTGAGGTATAAATTCGCCGCTATTACTGTAAAAACTGATACTTACTGAATTGAATTGATTCGAGTATGCGCTCACCTCACAGGTCTGCGGCTGTGTGGAACCTTTGTAACATTATGGCCACCATCACAATCCATAACACCGATGCCACACCGCACCCTGTATTTGTGACGGAGAAAATGTAGCCCAAATCTTCATGAAGCTTAGATTTATGCATACCACTATAGCTCATTGTGTATCCTGAGTTACATAAACAGAGTGCGCCCACTTTCAGTGCCTTGGAAAATGCTTGAAAACTACATAATGAAAATTAATAAATGTTCAATTAAATGTTTGCAGTGTTACACAGGAACTGCAACTTACATGCACACGTACACATATAGTTACGTAAAATATGAAAAGTTACTTGTAAGAATCACAAATGATTTTATCAACAGAGCTTAAAACTGTAAAATGTTTTATAATTATTTTAACATTTAATAGCAAAGTTATATTTGATTTGGGGTGTGGTTGTGTTTTAGTATGTTTAATTGAATGGGGTCTCCAAAAGGAACCTACCTAAAGCATGAAATTCCCTCTGCAAAATGCAAGAATCAATAGCTCCTTTAGACTTTTCCTGTTTCTGTAAATTGAACCTAAAGTCATTTTTAAAGATATTTTAATTGCCCACTTTGATCTTTTCACTTGCATCTACCAACATTAGCAGTTGACATTGTTGGGGAAATTTTTTTCAAAGAAACATCTATTTAAAGGCAGGTCCAGAGTGGAGGATACCTCCCTCGGGTGTGGATCCTGGGCTCTGTGCCCAGCTTGTGCCCACCCTGCTCATTCTTCCATGCCAACAGGTACCTAACTCAGTTTTGGACCTCAGCCACATTGCAAGTCACTTCATGTTGTGGGACTTGGGGATATTTGCAAATGGTTGAAACCGCTAAAGTAAAACCCAGTAACGCTAGGCATCTATAGCAATATTGAAGAGGGCCGGTGAGTGCACCTGAGCTGTAGACACCCCTCAGAGCCCTGGCCTTGTAGGAGGACAGAGGGAAAGAGCGACGTGTGTGCTACTGAAAATCTGACCTCAGCAATGTGACATCAACAACAGTTGAGAGGACACCTTTCGTTTCTGGTTGGGAGACCCAGAAACTTCTCTGATATCAATGGAGCAGCTTTATTTTACAAAATGGAAAACCAGAAGGAACTGTCACTAATGCAGAGAGAGTGTTGCCCTCAAGCTTTCTGTCCCCATGTTGTCACTGCTTTTGGCTGCGGGTTCCAGAAAGCCTGCCCCAGAGCCAGTCCTTCCTAGAGGCGCGCACTTACCTCCCAGTCGTGAAAGACGCCGCTCAGCTCCCCTTGATGACTCTCATTCAAGGGTTGCTCAAGCGATGGGGCTAAAAAAGCAGCTCTAAGCCTGGAGCTACATGGATGGAGTGAAATTGTAAAGCTGAGGGTTTAGAAGCTAGATCCCCATCCGCAAAACAGGTTATCAGCTCCTTCAGTTTAGCCTTGATGGTGAATAAACTTTGCTACTCAAAATGCAATCCACATCTATTTTCTCTGAGCCTAGTTGGTTAGGAGATTTTTATCCTGAGATTTCTAAATCTTTTAATCTTTTCACTGAGTGTTATGAGCCGAATTGGGTTCTCTCAAAATTCTCTGTTGAAATCCTAACGCACAGTACCTAAGAACATAACTGTATTTGGAGACAGAGCCTTTAAAGGGGTGATAAAGTTAAAATAAGGCCGTTAGGGTGGGCCTGGATCCAGTGTGACTGGTGTCCTTACGAGAAGAGGACATTTAGACACAGAGAGACACTAGGGCACACATGCAGAGAAGGCCGTGTGAGGGCACAGTGAGAAGTGGCCATCGTCAAGCCCAGGAGAGACACCTCAGAAGAAAACAACCCCACCAGCAACTTGATCTTGACCTCCCAGCCTCCCAAACTAGAGCAACTGAATCTCTCTTGTTCCCAGCACCCAGTCTGTGGTGTTTGTCCTGGCAGCCCTAGCAGAGGAACGCATTCAGGCAAGGCAACTTGTGTTGGAAATACAGTAAACTTTCCTCTTTCACACCTATGACACTAGACTTGTGCAAATTCCCTGCATTTGGGTAGCCAATATCTCCAGGTCACTTCCTTTCAATTTTCTGATATAGGTGGTGAAAGTATGGGACTCTGAAACAGGAAGATCGTTGTCTGAATTTATTGGGGCTCATGGCGAGGCTGGAATCACCTGTCTGACCTTTGACTCCAGTGGAAGAAGGTATGTGCCTTCTCCAGCGTCTTTAGGCATTAGGCAGTGTGACCACTGACACGCCATCCCAACAGGGGACTCTGTTTCGTAGGCTCTTCACAGGGGGCAGAGACAGCTGTCTGAAAATTTGGAGCTATAACAATGGGCATTGTCTGCACACACTGAAACATGGTAAGTCGCTCCTTCCTGAGGGTCCCCATAACATAATGACACAAGATGAGGTGTTTGTTATCAACGTAGAAGAAATCAAATGAGTGTAAAACACTAGGATGCATGTCCCAATCCTACACCCTTGTCTCTGGCATTTCATTTGACCAATGACTCTAAGCTTCTATTTAAGAAGGACATACTTTACGTAAATGTATGTGCCACCAGATAAGTCTAACGCATTTGTTTCTCCATTACCTGGTAGAGATCTGATTCCTTAAAAGGACTTCACATTTCTAAACATTTTAAACATTGCCTCAGTCAAAATCTAGATGAACAAACTAAAAATAAAATTAGTCTCTCTGGCATGTTATTGCAATCCTTTTTTCAAGTTGCTTATGCCATTTGCTCATTTGCTGTGTCGGTTCCTGGCAGAATTTCCATAATCTGGCCTGTAAAACCTTCCCTGAGAAAGATGCGAGGCACACATTCTTCAGCCTTCAGAGAGTATAAATGAAGTCAAAGTGAAATAAACCAAATTACTCCAAGTGACGCGTCTGGGATTCCGAGTTCTGCCTCTGATCCGCACGCATTCACTTCCCATCCCTCGCTCAGTAAGTGCTGGGCACTGTGCCAGGGCCATTCAGGAGACGGTGAGCCTCTTTCTGTGGCTGAGCAAGGGTGGAATCTGCCTCTTAGGGTACTGATGGTGGCACCAGCAATGCTCTGATGGCTTGAAAGACACCTAACTGTAGTCTAAAACTAGATTGGATTAAGTCAGTACGTGTAAGCTGATTCAAGAACTGGTAAAGAAAACTGTTTAATGTAAGCTGATAATGCTATCTTTTCAGATGAAAACCAAAGTGAAGCCTGTGATTGTACCTGCTTGGAGGTGAACCAACACAAGTGAGTTACATTCAGCTTGGATATCACAAGGACATCTATTTTGACATAAATTTGTCCTGGAAGAGGACACAGAGACAGTGAAGGGAATTTCCCAGAAGGAAATGTGTCAAACAATTCCCAAGAGGCCCTGTTTGCCCCCTGATGGTCATCTAGGCAACTAGGCCCTTGCAGAATATCGGAAGCTGTCCTCTGCCTAGTTTGATGACTGTTCAGAGGCACAGACAGGGGGCACTGCATCTCTCCACTAAATGCCGTCTTCAGGAGCAAATCACGGACTTCAGGAATTAAAGTCGTCAGCCACAAGCTAAAGAATAAAAACCCAATAAATTCCCTCCTGAATACTAAAAGGGTAAAAAAAAAAAAAACAGTTTTCATCCATTTCTGTTTGTGCCCTTGCTTCCCTGGTCCAGCCACACTCTTAGGATCGAGTAATCCACAGGAAGGCAGCTGCTCGTGGGGTTGCCCGCAGACCTTGGAAATTACAGGGTGTCCTTTTTCCGTGTCCCGATCCTTTAAGCGCCAGTTTAAATATGTCCCAATTTATCAAATCACATTTAATCTTGTTCTTCCTGAGAAACCACAGAGATTGTGTTCCTGCTCTCTTCCTTGATCACATGGATATGGCAAAACTGAACCACAGTATTGACTGCATGTGAAAATGAAACTGATCATAAGCCTAAATATTGAAGTGTAATATCTATTTTTGTTCTAGGTGTATCATAGCCGTTGGATGGGACAGAAGAATTAACTTGTATTTTGTAAGTGAAATATACAAAATTGTATTTTAAACCCCCGCTTCAGACTAATATCCTCCTCCTTTCTCTCTCTCTCTCTCTCCCAGATTCCTTTCCCTTTAAAAACAGATGATTTTGGAAGAATTCCTTAGGCCCCTGCTCTCTGCTACAAGTCAAGCCATGATAGAGACAAAATAATGTCCTCCCTGTCTTCCTTCCACCCGCCCCCATCTTTCCTACTCAATTTCCTTTTAAAAAACCGTTTCACTTTGCTTCCGTTTCTGCTCCTACTTCTCTTCTGTGGCGAGAGGTGGAGCCGATGCATCCGATTCCCCCACACTAGCCGGGTTCCCACCATTCAAATCAATTCTGACGCTGTCTACTGGAGATAGTGTCAGACCCCACAAGGAAACGGCTCAGATCCCACATGACTGCCCCCGACCACCACTTTGGACACCAGTGCTAAGTGGTTCCCTGGTCTTCTGACCGACTGGCTATAGATTGGAGGTTCCAACGACCTCCTCCTTGGGTTTGATTGATTTGCTAGAGCAGCTCCCAGAACTCAGAGGAACATTTTACTTACCAGATCGCCTGTTTATTATATAAAAGGATATAACTCAGTACCAGCCACGTGGAAGACGTGCTTGAGCAGGAATGGGCAAAGGGCAAGGACCTTCCGTGCGGTCATCCCTTAGGAAATGTTAAGGAGCCCAGTGCCAGAAATGGAACAAAGGCCAAATGTATATTTCTTACCCTAAATCACAGCATCACAACGTGTTAGCTAGAAAAGCTACCAGGGGCAGAGAGGGCATCCCTGGAAACCCAAAGCAGGCTGTGCTGGGACACCAGCAGCTCCCCACCTCTTGTTAGTCCCCCTGCCCTTGGGACAGGCTGGCGGGTTCCTTCCTGCCCAGCACGCAGGGCTTCTGCTGTATCTCGCATGCTCTCACCCCTAATGGGAGGCTAACCAATCTGTCAATTGTCCAGCCTTTTGCTTTCTTCCTTCTTGTCTTTATGTCCCTGTCCCTCTCTGAATGGAAAGAAAGAGGAGATGAAATGCCACCCATAAGAAGCTTTACCAAAAAAATGTTTTGTTTATGGCGTAGAGATGAGGAAGGAGATTAAGAGACAGGGGAAATGAAAATGCTGACTGTGACTGAATTTTAAATCTATCTGTGGCACTTTTATTTCCCTGGCTTGCTACGCCGGAAGGTCATGGATTTCTGAAAGTCCTTAAACATTCTAAGTTCTTCATTCATTGGAAAGGTGCTGTGTTTCACAGCCTAATCCTCAGTTCCCCAGATGATTTGAGAGATGAGTTTCTGAGAAGGCTTGGCATTCCATTTGTCCTTCAGTCATTGTAGGTTCCTGAGCTGATGGCTTTGTTTTAGCACATGCAACAGCCATGTCTTATTACAAAGGCGAAGCTGTGAGACCATCGGGGGGAGCTTGCCAGTTGACGTATGATCTGTTGAAATGCAATCACCCAAACGTCAGGAATGGTTTGCTTTTTATTCCCACTGGCACTAGGGCAATTTGCCTGACATTTTGAAAATCTACATCACTGGTGGGGTGAGGGGTAGGGTTATAAGATGTGCCAACACCTTCTCTCTGATATTGTGAGACTTTTGGCAGCTGACTTCACAGCTTGTACAACGTCTCCTGTTTGGTTTTGAACACAGGACGTACCGTCCGACATCCATCACTTCTGGAAGCCACAGCCGCACTGGCAGGATGACCTGGTGAGCCCTGGCCCACTGTCTGGCTGTGAACCCACACAGCGGCACCTGATGGGGATCTCCCTCACTCAGGGGCCCACCCAGACTCTCCTGGGCCTGCCTGGGGGGGTCACAAGCATCTCCAAGCCTTTGCTGTGGTGGGATCCATGATTGGGGCCTACATAGAGCCAGGAGCCCTGAGCTCCAGGCAGCCACTCCTGCTTCCAGAAGAGGGGTGGCCCCATGTTCGGGTTGAGGCATGAGGCCACAGGAACGAGGCCACGCAGCTCTCCATGAAGGCAGCCAAAAGCCTAGTGCAGTACAGGCAGCCCGGGATGCGATGGGGGTGATGCTCCTCAAAGAAGCATCCATTTCTGCTTCTGCTTAGCGTGCAAAACTCTACACTCACTGTGCCATGTTTGGAGATGGGCACCTAGGAGATGACATTCCTGCTGCCTTGTGGCTTGTTAGGGGCCCGAAACCAGGAGACCTCCTGTGGTTCTTATTCGCACCCAAAATGCCCCCAAGTTTCTATAGCTTCCCAGGATGGAATGACCACCCTCAAAATGGTCTGCAGGCCACACCAGTAGGACAAATGTTATGAAAGGCCACATGCCCAGCCCTCTGCCACAGCCCAGGCATACCTCACACCCCTGTAAATATTCCAAAAGGTCCAAGCTACTAGAATACAGACTCCATGAAGACAGGCCTTGTCTGTCTTCACCAGGGCATTCCCAAGTCCTCGCCCAGTGCCTGGGTTATAGTACCTGCCCAATTATTACGCATTCATTCAACCAGCGTGTGTCAAATGCCTAGCGTGGGCCAAGTGTGTGATATTCACTGAAGATGCCAGGATGGTCCCCACATGCTCCGTGCCTTCATGGAGCTGGTGAATTAAGTGATTGTTGCATGAAAAAAAGAAAACAAAGTTATACAGAAAATGCTCCCAGGGATGTCACAGCCAGTGCAAGGGCAAAGTCATGCAAGAGCCATTCAAATATTTACTCATTCAGTTATCAATTCATTCAACACATATTTACTGAACACTTTCCTGGTGCCGTTCTTAGTGGACAGGCACCAAAGATTCAAACATTCATAAAGTGATTGCTGGCCCAGACCCTCACAGACTTGTGAGGAGACAAACTAAGGAGATAATAATCTTACAATATGACAGATGATATCATAAAATGCTGGGGAAACCCAGAGGTGGGAACTACTTACCTTGCACTAACATCAAACAGGATATTGAAAGATCACCTGATTTTTCCAGGAGGCCAGGGTAGAGAGGGCAGCCTGGATGAGGGGCGCAGAGGACAGTCTGGAAGCCCGAAAAGCACATTGTTGGGAGGACTGTAAGACGTCTGGGGGACTGGGGCCTCAGGTACAGGAGGGCAATGAGGCCGGAGTGTTAAATGAGAGCTTGGAAAGTCATGCTAAGGCCTGCACGCTTCACTCTGCAGGCAGTGGGGGTCCGCGGGAGGAGGAGCCCAGGCGTACTTGCTCGCCAATTGTGGAAGGAGGTGGGATTTGGCAACAAAAGATGGTGAGGAGAGCGCCACTGATGTATTCTTTTCCACCTGCCTTATAAGGCCCCCTTCGCAGCTGTTTTCTAGCAGAAGCGGCTCCTTAGGTCCTCAAGGGACATTCTGGGAGAAGTGTGTGCGGGAGAAAGAGTATCTCTATAGTGTCAAGAGAAGCCAATTCTTTTCACATGGAAGCTACACCCCAGAGGGAGAGTTGAAGGGTAAGGATCAGGGACTCTCTGAACCCGCAACATCTGTCTCAGAAATCCCTTTTGGTGTCTATATCCATATCCAGAAATCCTTCTCTCGAGGAGAGTAGGTGATTGCAATCCCTAACAAGCCACCGTGAGGGAGACGGAAGCGCCGTAAGAATCGAGTCAGGCGACACCACGCTCCAGAATTTAGGCCTGAGGCTGTCAGGAAACCCATCCACCCTGGCCAGTCCTGGGTCCCATTGTCCCATTTCAACATTTCAGCCCATTGAGGGCTCCTGCCACTTGGCAGCACTCTGGGAAAAATAAGAAAACTACTCAGCAAAGCACTTCCCTGAGGAAGGTGGTCAAACTGATGCAAGAGGGTGCAGCACGACCCTCAGACTCCCCGATCCGACCTTCTCTCTCTCTCTCTCTCTCTCTCTCTCTCTCTCTCTCTCTCTCCCAGGACCACGGACACAAGGAGGACATCCTCTGTGTGGCTCAATGCCCACCCTCTCTTCTTGCCACCTCCAGTTACGACGGGGAGATTATCGTTTGGAATGTCATCTCAGGCCACATGTACTGCAAGCTGAATACCCCCAGCCCCCAGGATGGCCCAGAAGGCAGAGGGGGTAGGTGGGGGCAGGCCCCGCGGCCACTCTGCACAGACCTCTGCAGGCTGGGCTCCTGGGACATTGTCTAAAGGAAGCTCAGTTCTGGACTGCTTCCCGGTTGGAAGGGATTCGGGTTTCAGGTTTAACTTGTCAGACGCAGGGGCCCCCAGCCGGAGGGAGCTTAGGAGTTCAAGTAGCTCAGCCCACATCCCCGGGCACCCAGGCATCAAAGCCCGCCTCCCCGGCCAGCCCACGCCCTCCAGGAGCCCTCCTCTCCCGCCATTCGCTGCAGGACTCTCCGCCATGCTGAGCCCCTCGGGCTTGGCTGGCACAGCTCTTCCAGCACCGAGGCTGCTCCTGGGCCATCAGCGCCGCTCTCCTCGGACTCCTTTCACCAGCGGGTGGGCCTGCTCCCCCCGCCCAGCTCGGGCATCATCTCCCCACGCATCCCTCACCATCAGCCCCCTCCGATGGCCCCGGCTTCCCAGGGCCTTTGCATTGCCTGTGGCCCGCTATGCCCTGGGCCTGTCCTCACCACTTGCAGGTTGTATGGCAAAACATTTCACCACTTTCCCTAATTTTTCTGCCGTTTCTTCAAGACCCTCTCTGGTACTGTGACCATGGGTCCACTCGTCCACTTATTCATTGAAAAAATATTGGTGAGCTCCTGCTATGCACCAAGTCCACCGCCAAACCATGGGGCTGGAAATGCCATCCCTCCCTCCGAGCCCTGAACTGCTTGGAAACTACACATGGGAGGTGAATGGAGGATCCACTTATCTATTAGCTTTATCGCTGGCTGGCCTGGATTGGAAAACTGGTGGGAACAAAGAAGCTTCCTACGGCTTCTCTCCCCACCTCCAGAGCCCAGTGTGATCCTTCCCAAGTGGCTGAAGTCTGCCAACAACCAGGGAACCCACAGCCTCACACCCGTGGAGCCCCAACAGGGGAGACACAGGGTGCTGGGCAGTTTTTGCATAAAACTGAGGATTGCTTGCACCTCTAGAAGCCCAGCCAGAAACCCTTGGAGATCCCTGAGTCCCATACTACAGTCCCCTGCTATAGGCCTCTGATAACCTACTAGCCATGGAGAAGTTCTGATGAGTCATTTGATCAGAAAACCTTTTTGAGGTTCTCCCATGGGTGCAGCCCCATGGGAGATGCATAACAGAGACTAGAGAGAGATGTGCGGCTTGACGCTGCCCTTGCGGAGCTCACAGTCTGAATTCAGAGACCAGACGTGTGTGCCCAGCAGGTCAGATAATGACAGGGCAACACAATCAGCCTCACTGTGCTTGAGAGTCACTCTGGGGAGCAGTGGTTAGAAGCCAAAACCCCTGGGCACCGCGAAATTAAAAAGAAATTATTACCTGAAGGTTGATTATCTGGTCTAGTCCTAGCCCCTTTACTACGTTAAAAAAAAGATTCTCTTATGAAACTCTTTCAGAAGGTCCCTATGAGTTTTTTTAAATCCTTGGGAAAAAAGTGGTGGCATTTCCTTCTAAAATTATTCTCATTGCCATTCAGATGAAAACTATGTCATTGGCCAGGAATGCAATGTTGACCCTTCAGCCAGCAGTTCTAATTTAAAACCCTGTTTGCAGTAGTATTTTATTGCCTAAAGTTACATGGCTGCTGGTTTTGGGAAACAACTCTTCGGCTCTAAAAATGCTAAGCCAGCCATAGCTGCCAGTAATTCACATCTGCAAAAGCTGCAAAAATGAGCTGGAAATATGGAAAAGTTCCCCAGTCCTTCCAGGAAAGAGCAGTACCGGCTCTTCTTGAAGGTTAAACCAGAGGCTGGGGGTCTTTGGCGCACGGGACAGGCGAAGAGGTCACCGTGTTATACGGAAAACAGTCCAGACAGTTCTTCTGAAGCCCTTCTCCGTAGAGCACGGAGCTAGAAAAAAGGCAAAGGGCTAGTAAGGCCAAATGAGCTGAAAACATATTCTTTCTGCAGACTTTTCAACCTGTTAGCTCCACTCTCCCTTATGTTGTGGACTGTGACATATTCTTTCTCCATCAAAGAGAAAGAATTTGAGAGTAAAGAGAGACACAGATTTCAACCAGGCTAAAACCCAGGAAATCAGTGAGTTTACTGGAAGATTAAGGCTTTTCTTTTCTTCTTCTTCTTTATTTTTTATTGTTGTAAAATACATGTCACATAAAATTTATCATCTTAATTATTTTTAAGTGTACACTTCAGTGGCAGTAAGTATGTTCATATTGTTACACACCCGTCACCACGATCTGTTTCTGTCTTTTCTGAAACTGAAATTCTATAATCCTACCCCTATTAAATAATAACTCCATTCTCCCCTCCTTCCAGCCCCTGATTAACACCATTCCATTTCTTTTGGTTTTTCACTATTCTAAGTCCCTCTTCCCAGTGGAATCATACAGTATGTGTCTTTTTTGTGACCAGCTTATTTCACTTAGCATAATATCTGCCTAGGATTGTAGTGATAATTAAATACGGTAAGTCAAGAAAGCACTTTGCTCAGTGGCTGGCCCATAGAAAGCGTCTCCTAAACAGATAATCCCAGTTGTGATCATTGTCCCCTCTCGGGCAGTGTCCACTCTGGTTTCCCAAGTGCTCAGCACAGTGCCAGCTCAAAGTCAGGCCAAAATAAACATCACTGACCAGTGAATGGCCTGAGCACAGGCATCCCCATCACAGTGAAGCCCAGAAGCAGCACCTCTTGCATTTAACTCCAGCACTAACCCTGCTAGTTATATGACCCCCTATGTGCCTGAGCCCACTTACTTCAAGTCCAACCTGGAGGCTCTGAGTAGGCGGGTAACATAATACTCAAGGAGGGTAACTTAAGGGGAGCTCCTTGCTCCCAATCCCGATATCCAAGTAGCAACATTCTTTACGGCTCTAGGAGGTTTGTATCTGATTTCATCTGTAGGATTTTTATCCAGCAGCAATATTTGAGTTCTGTGTGTTAGGCACTAGGAGAGAACTAGAGGTGAGAGGTGAGAAAAGATGTGCCCCTGTGGTAGTGGTGCTGGAAGCCCAGCAGGAGGGCGGGGAGGCAGGGTCAGGAGCTCTTCCCACACTTCTCCCAGCTGTGCCCTCCAGGTATGTGTTCTCCCCAGCGAGCCCTCTCCACCCAGAGCGCAGGGCTTCCTGCAGGGTTCCAGATGGAACGCGGCTTCCCCTGGGAAGCCTGCCCTCGCCCTCCCTCCCCCACTCCCTGTAACCCTCCCCACCCCACCCGGCCCGCTGTGTCTTGCTCATTCCTGGGGGTAGTTCTTGCTTCGGCCGGGCTCTCTGCTTCCCCCTTCCCTTTGCTGCACGGTGCTCAGCACAAGGCTTAGTTCCTGCTAGAGATTTAACAGATGGTGATTTTTAAAAAATGGAATGAAAGAACTTATGGCCTTGAGCAAAGCTTTCAACTTTTCTAAACCTCCCTTTCCTCATGTGGCCATGGACTAATAATTCAGTGCCCTCCGATTCCACATGGTTTCACATCCTGGTAAATGCTAGCAGTGGCCTGAAGGTTCATTGGTATTATCCCAATCCAGGAATTCCTAGGGAGTGGGGACCGCTTGGGCAGACCCCGCAAAGTCCCAGGCAGAGGCTCTGATCATCCCTGTCTCTGCCCAAAAGCCCCAGGGTCCTCAGCACCACCGGCTTCACAACTGACTTTGCCCCACCAACCAGGCTGGGCTGGTTGCTAACCAGTGAGGACACTGCCCGCCGGGCTCGTCTTCGGGCCTCGGGGTGGGGCAGGGGCAGCGCCAGGAGAGGGTGAGGTCCGTCCTGCATGGGGCACAGGTCCAGAACTCTCCCGCCAGCAGGCCCAAACCGGAGCGTTTCCTGCCTCACCTTCCTGAAGACGCGGGCAGCCAAGTTCAAATTGGCTGCTGCTTCTCTGATGGCCAATGGGCCCCAAGGTGACTCTGCTGCTCTTTCCTGAGACTGGCCGCTGCAGGCCTGGACTTGGGAGGAGACCCCCCAGATCAGTGTTCCCCAAGCCTGCCCCAGCCCCAGCCCCGCCTGCCAGGGAGGGGGTCCTGTGGGGAGCGAGGACCTGCCCCCCTTTCCTCTGAATCGCATCCGTACCCAGCTGCCCCTTAGAGGCCCTGCAGGTTGTGGGGCAGAGGGGTTTGGAGCAGGGGGGAAGGGGCCACTGATTGTTCCCGGAGAGCATGGAGCACCGAGAGCATCAGGCAGTCACAGTAAATAAATACTGAGCACAGCCTGGGAGGGAAAGACCTCTGCAGGCGCACAGGCAGCCTGAGAGGAGAGCCAACAGGGAGGAGCCCGTGGAGGGCCTGGAGGGCCACCGAGGGACCCGCTAGCTGTAGGCGGAGGAAGTCAGGGCCCCCAGAGCTAGGGACGGGCTTCTGCGTCCAGATCCACCACTCACTAGCTAGGTGACCTTCACAGATTACGTGACCTCCAGGCTTCAGCAAGAAGTGAGGGGGCCGACGTCCAGCTCCAAAGCTCTAGGCTTTTAACTAAAGCCTTGGAGTTAAAAGCAGCACCTGCGTTGCTCCTGTCCACCGGGAGGCTCCAGCTGTGTGTTTCGATCCCAGGGTAGGTGGTTGTTTACGTTCTGCTCCCTGCAGGGGGAGGCTGCCTGCCCACCCCCCAGCCCCAAAGCTTCAGGCCTTACAGGCAGCAGGTGCCTCGGGGGACTCTCCTCACCCTCCGCCCTGGGGCATCATGGCCTCTGCCTTACTGGCAGGAGCACAGTACCCCTCCCCTGAGAGCAGGAGGGTTCCACAGTCCAGGCATTTAGGGGGCTCCCAAGAGGAAGGGATGTGCCCAGGGCGCCCTTCACAGAGGCTTGCTACACGGATTGGCGAAGCAAGGGCTTACACACACACACACACACACACATATTACTTCCCCAGCACAAACTTCCCGACCTTCACTCCAAAGCCACAGCTGGAGCCCTCCCCCGTCCTGCCCTGATTAGTAGAGAAGGGAAAGGCGATTGGACCATTTAATCCAAAACTCACTAAAAGGACACCTTCTGCACATACACCGTTCATTCTAACTGATCAAAATAAGAGGAAAAGAAGAAAAATGTCCCAGGGTCATGGGGCTGCTGAGTCTCTGCAGCAGAGGCTCTGACCTAGTGGGGAGATGAGGACACGCACAGGGAGCGCATCCCCAGCCGCCCGTCCACTGTTCCCTCCCCACCAGGCGCTGTCACCTTCTGGAGGCTGTTCGGAGGGGCCTGTCCCATTGCAAACTTCACTCCTGTAAGTCTGGTTTGCTCCTGGGCAGGCAGTTGGGAATACCTTCCAGGCTCCGGGCTTGTTTCCTTCTGGCGCTATCCTGACTGTGTAACACAGAAGTTCTGCCAGGCTCGAGTCCTTGGCTTTATGTATCTGCACTGCATTTCTGTCTTGTTGGAAGATTAATACAGGCACAGTGACTAGTTCTTACTAGAAATGGGACACAGCCCTTCACTTGCCATTGCCTAACAGGTAAGCTTTATCTGGGATGGGCCTTGTGTGTGGATTTGTGTCTGTGTGTCTGTGATGTGCCCTGTGTGTGTGTGAGATGGGCCCTGTGTTTGTCTCTCTAATAGGTCCTGTGCATGTGTCTTTCAGTCCAGAGACAAGGCCCAGATCAGCAGAATCACAGTGACAGCAGAAGACACCTTTGCCTACATAGCTGACCAGGAAGGCTTTGTGCATGTCTATGACATCAAGAAATATGGCCTGCAGGAACCTGAGATGCAGCCTCCCAAGAGTAGGCAATGAACTCTTTGGGTGTTAAATATTGTGATGAGCACAGCTTGAGTTTTAATTTAATAGTCTGGTTGGTAAAATTAAATTGTACCAGTGAGGGGGGATTCCCAAAACCCTTTAAGAACAGATTTAAAGAAAAAGCATTCAGTATTGCCAAGGACATGGGAAAATGAGCGCTCATACACGTGGATAGAGGGTAAATCGGTGTGTGCTAGCTGAGGGCCAGGTGACCATACATAGCTAAAGCTTTGAATTAGCAATCCTACTTCTATGGATTCGGCCAAAAGAAATAATAAGAAATGTGCACAAAGATTCACTTATAAGGTTGTGAATCAACACATTGTTTATAAGAGAGAGAGAAAACTAGAGACAGCCTAGATGCCCAGTAGAAGGGGAATTGATTAATACATAATGACATAATACACTGAAATGTCATTTAGTCACTAAATAATCGTGCTGTATAGGACAATACGTTCACAAGAAACATGGTCAATCATGATGAATTGTGAAATGAAAAAAATCACATCACAAAACAATATTGTCGAATGAGTCTACCTTTGTTAAGACAAAGAAGTATATGGAAGATTGAAAGTCAGGAAAGATACACATCAAAATTTTAACAAATGTTATCTCTCTGTAAATGAAGTTATAGGTATGTTTTATTTTCTTCTCTTTGGAAATCTCTTCTGATTTTTCTAGGAATACATTGCTTTGATAACAAAAATATGTTCAAAATTTTACAACCCTTTCATAGAATTGCAAAAGTTCTAATGTTTAGAGAAAAGTCAGACAGCGCAAAAGGAAAATGAAAAGCAGTAGCTGTTTCTCTGACCTCCTCTACCATCTAAACTGCCATTTCCGAATCTTAGTAACAATGTTAATAACATTGAATTTCCTTCCAGAAAGTTTCTATGCATATACACATGCCTTTACATACACATACTCTCTCTCATAAAACATATTTATTTATGTATATATATTTAATTTTCAGGACTTGTTTTCTTCTTTCTACCTCTTAGACAACTTACCATATAAGCATATTTAGCTTCATTTAGCATGTTTACATGGCTGTATAATATTCCATTAAATACATTTCTATAAAGCCAATGTAAAAATTAACATACGGCCCTTTAGTCACCTTTTCCTGTTCCACCACAAGAGAAGTTTAATTGCTAACACTTAAATGCTAAAGTCAGAGAAATCGGCATTTGGAAGTAAGAGCAATCGGACCAGTGTCGGTCTTGACTCCAGGTATTAGTAGTGGAGATTACACCAGGCTCTTTTCCAAATCATTTCTGATTACTTGCCTAGTCCTGCCTGCGTAGTCCCAGACCCTAAGCACTGAAGGAGACCATAGCATAAGCACGCTGTGTGCATCCCCTTTTATGGTTTTGGACCTGGCGTGGGATCCTGCACACAGTAGATGCTCAACAAACACCAAATTAACACAGGCAAGCCAGTGATTCTCCAGCTAGCCCCTCTCTCCCTGCTGGGCGCTCACCCAGATCTGACCCCTCCTGCCGGAACTGTTACACAGCACCCGCTCTCATGATGGTTGACTGTCCCACTGTCCTCACATGTGTCTGTTTTTGACTAGATGTGACCTTCTGGAAGGCCCATGTCAGCCTGGTGACATCGTGAGTACCATCCATTTCAGAGTTCAAGAATTTGTAGAGTTAAAATAATTTCACAGCTTCGATCAGATCAGTCCCTCCAGAAGCTCTCTGAATTAGTCAAAAGAGAACAACAGTATTATAGTTCTGCTGTTGATGAGAACAAGATGTATATATTGCTTGCTCAGAACTAAAGGAAGAGGTTGGAAGGCTTCATTTCTCTGGTAGACGAATGACTGTCTGCCCTGAATTGATCTGGTATTTTAGTGTATGTTTAGAAGCTCAGTAAGTTTAAGATTTTTTTCCACTGGAGTTGAAAGGAGTCAGGGCTGTAGGGCAGGGCCTGAACTCCAGCCAACCAATATTGATCTTTCCGCAGACCCACCATCCATGGGATGGTTTCCAACATATCTTGTTTGGCATCTTGGGGCTGGAGTCGGGGGATCGGGAGGGTTTGCGGCGTGTGGTAGGAGGCAGGCAGAGAGTCTCACCAAGAATAATTGAGGAGGTTAACCCGGCTTCCATATTCCAATGCTCAGTAAGGGAGTATTGACATATTGATCCGATGTCCCTTTCATGTTGGAGCAGTGTTGGAGCATCTCTCCTCCCCTTTTATCTCATTACTTTAGAGTTGATAGAAGAAAAATATCTGCTGTCATCCTCTGTCGACCGCACTGTGCGCCTGTGGAGCACGGATTTCTCCAGCTAGCCCCTCTCTCCCTGCTGGGCGCTCACCCAGATCTGACCCCTCCTGCCGGAACTGTTACACAGCACCCGCTCTCATGATGGTTGACTGTCCCACTGTCCTCACATGTGTCTGTTTTTGACTAGATGTGACCTTCTGGAGGGCCCATGTCAGCCTGGTGACATCGTGAGTACCATCCATTTCAGAGTTCAAGAATTTGTAGAGTTAAAATAATTTCACAGCTTCGATCAGATCAGTCCCTCCAGAAGCTCTCTGAATTAGTCAAAAGAGAACAACAGTATTATAGTTCTGCTGTTGATGAGAACAAGATGTATATATTGCTTGCTCAGAACTAAAGGAAGAGGTTGGAAGGCTTCATTTCTCTGGTAGACGAATGACTGTCTGCCCTGAATTGATCTGGTATTTTAGTGTATGTTTAGAAGCTCAGTAAGTTTAAGATTTTTTTCCACTGGAGTTGAAAGGAGTCAGGGCTGTAGGGCAGGGCCTGAACTCCAGCCAACCAATATTGATCTTTCCGCAGACCCACCATCCATGGGATGGTTTCCAACATATCTTGTTTGGCATCTTGGGGCTGGAGTCGGGGGATCGGGAGGGTTTGCGGCGTGTGGTAGGAGGCAGGCAGAGAGTCTCACCAAGAATAATTGAGGAGGTTAACCCGGCTTCCATATTCCAATGCTCAGTAAGGGAGTATTGACATATTGATCCGATGTCCCTTTCATGTTGGAGCAGTGTTGGAGCATCTCTCCTCCCCTTTTATCTCATTACTTTAGAGTTGATAGAAGAAAAATATCTGCTGTCATCCTCTGTCGACCGCACTGTGCGCCTGTGGAGCACGGATGGCGAGTACGTTGGTAAGGGGCAGCCCTTGGTCACCACCCTGGTGCCAGGTCAAGGCTCAGATGCAGCCCCCGCTCCGTCATGAGTTCTCCGAGGTCCCGGGGTAGCTCAGGCTGCCGTAGCAGTGTACCTCAGATGGGGTGGCTTAACCAGCAGGAATGTATTTCTCGCCTGCGAGCCAGTCCTGGAGGCAGGAAGTCTGAGGTCAGGGTGCCTGCGTGGCCAAGTCTGGGGAGAGCCATCTTCCTGGCCTGCAGGTGGCCACCTTCTTGTTGCATCATCACATGGCAGAGAGATTCTCTGGCGTCTCTTCTTATCAGACCGGGGTCCTACCCTGATGACCTCATTTTAACCTCAACTACTTCCATAAAGGCCTTATCTCCAAACATAGTCACACTGGGAATTAGGGCTTCATTATATGAATTTTGTGAGGACAGAATTCAGTCTACACCTTAAAGGCATCTTACTTTCGTAAAAAATTAGCAAAATCAAAGACATCTAAACTCAGAGACTCAACACAGTGAGTTTGGGAAGAAAGTGTGTTATCATTTGTTATCCTTATGTTACCCTTGGCCGGAACAGTCCAGGATGGAGGGAGCTGTGTGGTGGCGAAAGGCCTAACCTGATGGACTCTAGCAAGGAAACTGACCCGATGGACTGGTCGGAGAGACTGTACCCGGGTCAGCATGTTCTTACCTCCCTACCTGAAGCAGGTGCTAGATCTATTTAAAATTTGTCCTGCAAGTTCTTCGTACATTATTGAGTAGCTTATGCACCCATGTGATAAATGTTGCAGGAGGCATTCTAGGCTTGAGTAGCCAGAGCCAGTTGCCCAGGAATTGTTTTTACGGAACTACAGAGGCGGAACTAAATTAGATTGAGTTGACTCAGCAAGGAGTAAGGAGACCCAGCAATCGTAGCCATAAGCTTTGCTCTGATTAGAAAACAGGTCACCTCCCATCCTATGCTTATTATTAATTAATTTATCTCTACTCTTCCAGGGACGTTTGGGCAGAGTAGCCGCTGGGATATTTTCACTCCTGCCTCCTGGAGCCACCCCAGAGTGCCCTGTGAGATCCTGACAGATCCCCAGAGCACGCCCGCTCACCCCAGGCTGGAAGGAGATCTTCCCACCACACGTACAGGGGAGGAGGGGCAAGACACCAGGGTCCAGGGAAAGGCCGCTGCTAAGGTCAGTCCCGGTGCCTCGATGCACCTGGTTTTACTTTGAGGCTTCCAGGCAGATCAGAATGGAAGCGAACTGTGGCCTGAAAGAATCGAGGCATGAGCTAGAGAACCAAGTAAACCCAATGAGAGTGTGTCCCAGGAGCATGCTACTGACCAGGGCCCGGAGGATTTGTTGGTCTGTCTGTAAGGATGGTTGGCGCTCATCTCCCAGCATCACTTGACTCGGTCCACCTTTCGACCGACAAAAAGGCTATTGTCTGTGGTCTTGGGACCTAAGGACATTCTGCACGCTGCTCTACGCAACTGTCACCTCAGGGAAGGAGGGAAGGACAGACGTTAAAAATTCAACCCACCACACACACTTGCCATTAGGAAATGTATTTAAAAGCTGGGATTCCTACTGAGTGAAAGGAAGAAATGATCAGATTGGTGCCCAAGTCTCTGAGAGTCAAAATCAGAGCAAGAAATTTGGGGAAGGCCCTGGTAGATGCAGCCTTGATTTAGAGCTCAGTGAAATATCTGGATTTCCAAGAAAGGCTTGCCCTGTAATAAATTGAAAAGAAGGTCATTTCATGAGCTCACTGGTTATGTTACAACTCAAAGCAGGACCCTGCTCTGTCAGCAAAATAATATGTCTAGGCAGCCTCCTTGAATTCGATGACACAGTATAAGCCCCTCACTGACTTCTGCGTCGAGCCCCCAGACACATTCTTAATAGGAAATAAAGGCACCAGGCAAGCAGAGATCAAGCAAGCCTATTTCGTCGGAGGCCTCTCACATTTCCATGATTTCCCTCTCACAAGTGTTCCCAAGGCTATCGATAAGTGCGCTGGCAGCTCTCAGGTCAGAATGTGCCTACCTGGCACTATTGGCCTATTTTTTTAGAAAAAAACAGTAAATTCCAGGGTGCATTTGATATAGGGAAAACAAAGGAGTTCATTCATTCTGATAGGCGCACAATCGGGAAAACAAATGCCAAGGGTGAGGTGGGAGGTGAGAGCGAGTGGTAGGAACCTGCTGACACCAGGGGTCAGACTAGCTCCCAGGTCAAGGAGGGAGCTTAGGGAGGGCCAGGTGGGAGGAGGGGGCAGAAGGAAGGGAGGAGGGGGAGGGACACCCAGTTCAACAAGACCAAACTGGGTGACGGGTGTGATATTTGCGTCCCAAGGGTGAAAGACAGAAAGGCAATAGACTTCCTGAGTGACCTTGATCTCATATAAGGAAACCCCTGGGTGCTTCTGTGTTTATTATTCTGTCCAATTTGGCTGGAAGTACTTCAGGAAACAGTCTGCACATTCTTTCTAAGAAGAAATTCAGGAGAGAAAAAAACAAACACAAAAAACCAAGCCCCTAGATTGTGTATCCGGACTAGTCCATGGGAATCCAAACTGTAAAATTACAGAATAAAGGGTTTGCAGCGCTGTTTGCGAGTTAGGGTCACCTCAGTTCTCGTCTCAAGTTCACCTTCATTAGTTGCCTGGCCCCAGCAATCACTGCCACTGATGATCTATGAAATGAGAGGTGAATCGCTGAACTTTTCAGTTTCATTCCACCCCTAAAAATGGTATGTTTCTGTGAATGTCTCTTTTGCAAAACTGAATGTGTTGATTGGGTTCCGGATGTCAGCAGCGATGCTTCCAGGATGCCAGCGTATTAAATGCAACCACAGCTGAAATAAGTTAACTGGATGCAGAAAATCACTCCCCTGGAAAGCATCACGTTTGAGTCAGTAATTTGAAAATCAAGTAAGAGCTCAAGGGAGAATCTTGTTATCTAGCGCATTCAGCCAGTCAGGTGCTTGTTTTGACATGGAAACTCCGAGAAACCGACAAGTTATCCTTGTCCCCCGTCGCAGTGTGACCGTGGGTTCCAGTTCTCATATCTGCTCCTTCTTCTTCCAGCCCGAAAAGACCTCTAAGCCTTGCTCTCCAGAAGGCTCCAGCCTTGAAGTCGAAACAAAAGAGGACATAAGTCGATGGTATGCATTTTGCGATGGCTGGTCAGCCTAAAAGAAGCACCCGCGTAGAAGTGAGGGCGCCCTGAAATAAGGCAGCCTTTCCCTGCTGCGACACCGCGGGCCAGCCTGTTGTCTGCATGAGTCACTTGCCCCTAAGCCCCCCCAGCCTGTGAGTACAATGAGTCCTCAACTGCAGTCTCACCAGTTAACATCCTGCCTGCAGAACTCAGGACACCAAGGAGTCCCCCGTTTTGTCCAGGCACCCCATGTGGCCAAGGGCCACCCTCTCAGACCCTTTGTCTCAGGCCCATGGCTGACATTGCTGTCCTCAGAGCTGCTTGAGGCCGGACCACCTCACTGTTCCTCCTGTAACCCACTCTGACCCCCGAGGGTGTGGGGCGGGGCCCCAGGTGGGGCCCCCCCATGCTTGGGGACAGCTGGTGACCACAAAGGCCCTGTGTTTCCTCCAGGCTCCCTGTACGGGGACGCGGCTGGGTGCCACAGAGAGGTAGGGCGAACGAGTGGTTCTCTCTCTGGCTCTGCGGGGTGTTTTGTTCCCCAGGCCCCACACCAGCATTCATGGGTCTCTGTCACCAAGAGGCCTAAAGAAGCGGCTCCCCTCTTCCACCTGGATGTAGATCTAGGCCATGGGCCACATGTGTGGCGACACCACCCTAACCTCTCCAGTTCCTTGGCGCAGGGCCCTGTGGTCGTCAAGACCCCTTCTGCTTACTTCTGCCCCACTATCTTAGCGTGGCATCTGTCTTCACTGCCACCTTATGGTACAGATAGCTGCTGGGACCTCCCGCCCTCCACCTGCACTCCAGGGAGCGTAAAGAAACAGGCGAACGGAGAATAGGCGTCCAGGACAAAAGGGGTACACCTTCCAGCCAAACCACTTCCCTCCACAGGCTCCTCGTCCAGGACGTCCCACACACTTCTGCTCACGTTGTTTGGGCCACACTAGCTGCAGCAGAACCTGAGTGTTCTGCCACTGAGTGGGAGGCAAGAAAGGATTTTTGGCAGACGACTAATGTTCCAGGAGATCAAACAGTAAAATGCTTTGGATACTGTTAGGAGGGCGTCACATAGAGGTACACCAGTCACCATGCACATCATGCCGGAAAACGGCTGAGAGTCGTGAACCTCAAGTTTCGTTCAGGAGAGCATTTGGCTTCTTAGGAAATGACACAGACTTGGGTTATAGTTACAGACCTGTCTTTAAAAACAGGGAGACAGAAGGGGGGAAAGAAGAAGGTGACGGCCTGCTGCTTGTCCATATGCCCTCTTACTTTCACAGGATTGCTCACCTGTGTTATGTCGGGGGGCCCAACCCTCTCACGTAGCACATGCCTTATTCAACATCAAAAAACACTGGATCGTGCCCCCGGAGTGATCTCTGACTCCCATGTTGGGAGTTCCTAAATTACTTTGTTCCATTCTCACAACATCCTGAAGATAATGCCACTTGCTATTTCACTTCGAGATAAGGAAGCTGAGATTTAGGGAGGACATGTGATTTGCCCACAGTCAAACCATGGTCAATAAATAGTAAGGTGGGAATATGGTCCCCCTGCTTTCTGCGCTTCCCCACAGTGCAGAGACCATGTCCCTGAGACAGGCTTTTATATGAGCAGAGAAAGGAAGGGTGTAGCTTTGAAATGCCCCAGACACTAAGGAGAAGCTATGGACAATGGGCAGATTAACCGGAATCAAGTATCCTCCCCACAGTGCAGGCCCAACTGATGGCAATAATGCCGAAACACAGTGACTGAGGGTCACTTAGACAGAAAGGGGCAGGAAGTGGCCAGCAGGTGCTTCCCAGGCAGTGCAAGGCCAACTGAGGCTGGGAGAGGCAGCTGAGGAGAAGACCCCCCCCCAAGACAGGGCACCAGGGAGGTGCGGGCATGGGCTGGGGGCTCACCTGCAGCAAAGGGCGTATGCAGGACCCCTGGGCTCTCAGAAAGTCCCTGGGGTGCTGCATGAGTGGGGACTGCAGGACAAGCCACAGAATCTGGCGAACAGACGGGGAACCACGCCCTGGAGATGACTGAGCTCCAGCAAAGCGTGGTTAAGTGTGCCTTGTAGGCTGATGCACAGGAGCGTGCAGCCGTGGTCTCAAGGAGTTTGTGGGGACTTGTCAGTGGATACTCGAGGGACGGTTTGCTCAGCAGTCCCTCTGCACTATTTGTTGAGCAGAGCTCTGAGCCGGGCCGGAGCTGTGACACAACACCGGGACCCAGCTGGGAACGGAAGGGGCTCCAGGCCTTGAAGGAGCTCACACTCGGTGGCTGTTGGGTCTCAGGTGCCGACCCGTCACTGCTGGGCCCTCTCCCGGCGCAGAGCATTTTGGGAGCACCAGTGTGGGGCTGCTGGGGGCTTCCCGGAGGAAAGCCTGAAGGAAGAGTAGGACAGAGCCACTGGAAAGGGAACTTTAGGAGAGAGAAGAGCTGCTGCAGCGTGGGTGAGCCTGGAGGCCCGTCTGTTCAGTGGAATAAGCCAGGGTGTGCCTGCATGCAATGTGAGGTCCCTGGGGTAGTCACATGCAGGGACAGAAAGTAGAATGGGGGCTGCCAGGACCTGAGGGAGGGGAAACAGGGAGTTGTTTTTTAATAGGTACAGAGTTTCAGTTTTGCAAGATGCAAAGAGTTCCGAGATGGATGGCGGTGATGGTCGCACAGCAAGGCGACTTAATGCCACAGAACCGCACGCTTACGAACGGCTAAGGCGGTAGTTTCATGCCATGCATATCCTACAGCAATTAACAGAGAGAGGGGAGCATGAGGCAAGGGGCCTAGGCGAGAGCGAAAGGGGAGGCCTGGGCATCTGGGAGGAGTTCCGTGTGCTTAGTACAGAGTTGGTGGGGAGGAGACATAGGCAAGGACAGGACTCGGAAAAGACGCGTTCGGGGCAGAAGTCCCAGGTGTTTAGAAGTGACCAGAAGGAAGGAAAGGGCTGGGGCAGCACAGAGTTGTTGCATTTCAGCAGGAGGCATCAGGAGGCCAGCAGGTGCCCAGGAATCTGCATTCTCACCTGCTGCTTCTCCTTTAGGTCGTGGCTGGAGCAGAGCAGGCCCCCTAGGAGGGCCCCGGAGCTGGTCTAGCCCACCATCTACCAGACCCTCTGGTGCCACGACATCGCCTGCATGTCAGCTTGGGGGAAGAAGCCAGATTTATCCATTCTTGGCTCCAATTTGTTTAATTTAAACTTTCTGACTCAGGAGAAAGCAGGAAATGAAGCTGCCCATGAAGAGCCCTGAGCACTCGGCCGTTTCCGTGCCATTGCTCTGGAGAGACCGACCGCCAGCTTCTCTCCCTGGCGAGTTCTTCTTCCCCAGTTACTCAGGAGGTCAGACTAAGGCTAGGCTGTGCCCACCCTCGGGGGCAAGGAAGAACAAAACAAGAAATTATTTCAGCCACTGTGGGCTTCTCCCCAAATCTACTGGAGCTTGGATATAAGTGAATAAATCAGACTCAAGGTTTTTCCTCCCCAGAAGCCATCATTTCATTGAGTAAAGAGGGCCCAGAGCTAAGGGACTGCAGCCAGCAGCCCCACTGCACCTTACAATGTCACTGGTAGTGACTGGCCCCAGGTGGGCTGGGGACAGTGGGAGAGAAAAGGGAGGCTGTTGGGAAAAAACAGCTGGAGGTTTCAATAGTTCCCTCTGTGCCAGGGGAGCCTTGGCTGAGAGCTGACATGTGGTACCCCATTTGTTCCTAATGAGATGCCACTGAATAGATGCTGTTATTAGCCCATTTCACCAGCAAGGAAACTGAGGCTCTGAGAAGTTAAGTAACTTGTGGATGGTGAACAGTTAAGTAAATGGCACAAGAAAATGCAGAGCCCACACTGCTAGCCACCAGCAACGCTGGTTCTCAGAGGGAGGGCAGCAAGCCCTGAGAATAAACCCAGGCCAGCTGCCCAGTCCTGTCCAAGCATGTTTCTAGAGCCTCGTGTTAAAGCCATCAGCCTCCTGGGACCTCCCAGCATCCTTAGCCATAGAGAAAGAACAGCAGCGCAGCTGCCAGTTACAGAGGATTTATGCTCTCTACAGAGGATTTATCTCGGCATGGGTATCATTTAATCCTCATGGCAACCTAGAGAAGGTACATCCTGCTTTATGACTGAAAAAACTGATTGTTAGAAAGATTAAGTACTTTTCCCAGAGGTACACAGCCAAAATATTCAAAATTCAAGCCTTAGTTTGGCCCCACTCACTGGGTTATAAATCTCTGCCTATAATTCAAAGCCATCATTTTGCAAATAAAGACAGTAAGGGGCAGAGTCCATGACTACAAATACAGGAAGTCTCAGGAGCAGCCCCACCCCTCCCTGTCCAGCACTTTCCATACCCACTCGCCTGCTCTTTCATCAGCCCGTGACCAGTACCCTTCTGAAGGGGGCAGGAGGGGTACTCTCCTGGCCATGCCCCTCCTCACAGGGCAAGGGGTCTGCAGAGCTTAGAAGGGTCCTGATTCCAGCCCACACTGCAGGTCCTGGGCCCTGGGAATCCCATGCCCAGATGGCTGCGAGTCCATGTCGAGGGCCTGTGCCTTATCCCCTGGGATCTGTCCACCCAAGGAATGGCCAGTCTCTGCCCAGCGAGAGGGCTAAGGGGCTGCTTTTGCTGGATGCAGACAGACAGTGGGCATGGTATTCCTGCACAGCCTCATGCACATAGAACTGTCAGGACTCCAAGAACTCCACACCCACCTGGCCTTCTGGAGGGGCCATGGCAGGAGGATGGATGCTCCCCATCTGTGAAGTGTTTTATGTAACAGTCTGTTAACCTGATATTTAACTTTCATGGTCCATTTGAACTCTTGCCCTGGAACCCCCAAATATTAGGGGTGAGCCAGCCCCTGACTTCCCTTTTGCTTCTCAGACTCCCCCAATCCCAGACCACAAGGTCCCTGTGGCCTCATTCCCTCTTAACACATCACCCTTGCCAAGAATGCCGGGTCCTCTGGGGGCACTTTTTAGGAGTCCCACCCCTCACCCCCACCATGTTCTACAGTCCCCACAGCTCCAGGAAGATACCGCTCTGCTTTCTGGGGAAGGCGCCTGTTTGTCCCCTGAGATCTTTCCGACTCAACCACCTGGTCACCCACAGTGTGGTGCCTCCAGCTGTTGACCGAGGAGAACCCTCCTATCAGCAAGGCGTCTTGGTTATGCATGAGGAAATCTGAGCTCAATAAGCTTAGACAA